CGCTTTCAACCGGAAAGACATCTTCCAAGGGCTTAGTTTCCAACCCTTGCTGGTTTTCGTGTAAAAATATGTGCTGGAAACAAACAAAATCAGCTCGACGCTCACGCTGCACATTCGTTGGGCCTGAAAGAGCCGCTGCAAAGGTGTCGAGTACTGACAGCACCTCAGACCACGCGGAGATCGCTGGCGGTCAGAAACCATCACTGGCCGGTGGTTGAAACCAAACAAATTCTCAACTGGAACTATCCGTCCAAGGTTTCATTGCAGAAAAGAAGGTGACACCACCAACCAAATCTTTCACCACTAGCATTCCAAGTGCAGTGATGCAACTTACAAGTCTGTCTTGTCGCATGGCATCCTACCCAAAAAATCGGATGTTCCAGGCTCTAACGACTTTCCATCAGAAAGACCAAGTTTGGCTACCCAGACCTCAGTACAGTACATGGGACAGCGGCCTTCTATCCACACCGTGACTCACGTTCTTTGGCCATCCCTACCGCTGGCCAAGCTCTCTTCAACTCTGAGCTGCGTGCCACCTCTTGCTGTGCACTTTCAATATCCTCATTGGGCAAGATCCGCCAGGTCACTCCCCTGGGGCCTTTAGGGCCTTTAGGGCCTTTAGGGCCTTTAGGGCCTTTAGGGCCTTTAGGGCCTTTAGGGCCTTTAGGGCCTTTAGGCTATTAGGGCCTTTAGGCTATTAGGGATCATAGGATGCACCGGGATTGGCACCTGTTGCAGCTTCAGCTCGTACTGCCATCGCAGGTACAGAATGAGCCACACCACCTGGCAGTGACTCCACAAAAAATAGCCACGCCAGCCCCGCAAGTGCTTTCCAACAGTCCCTTCTAAATGGGATGAGTTTCCCAACCGTAGCTGTAGCCGTCCCTTAGAGATTCATTGGGTCTCATCGCATGGTGCGCCTTGGTGATGGTGGGCTGTTGCGCTTGCATGGGCGTCCCCCGGATGCCAACTACCTGGCAGTGATGAATGGGTGGGGTTCCGTTGAGGCATCTTCATTACACCTCAATGAAGATGCCAATTTGATCTCCCAAAAATCTTCAGGGGTCTCGCCACCCACTTGACTCCTCAAATGATAGGCTGAGCTTCCAAGAGATTGATTTCTGGTCCGTGACTTTTGGGACTCACAGGCGCCTCACAGGAGATGAGGAGAAGGCACTCCATGAAGTGCGCCAGGCCAAACCTCGCGGCTAGAACCATAAATTTTGTATAGATCTAGGTTCATATAGATTCCTAGGCTGGGATGGATATTGATGGCATGGGTCTTTATATGTCTGACTTAGGTGATGTCTGGATGATGTATGACCTGGCCATCCTCCCCCAGCTCTGAGCATCGCACCCATGCTTCGAGGCCGCAAGTTCCTGAGACATGGACATCTTTTCGGCCCACACCAGCTGCAGTACAGCAAAAACGATGTCAGCCCCCACATTGGGCAACTACAAGTGACAATCCTTTTGTAACTTTCAGGCCTAACCCACGTTCAGTCCCAGATGTCCCAGGTCCCTCGGCGCCCACATGAGACCCCATGAGCCCATCGCACCCTGGCAGTCGCCACCGACCAGCTCTTTGCTACAGCAGTGACTGCGGCTTGCAGCTGTCTACGCTGCTTGCCCTCACGTTGCTGCGTCCTCAAAGCCTGGCTAAAGCATGTGGGTATGGCTCAGAATTCATTGTGGACCATCATTTTGGACTGGCTGAATCGATGAAATAGTAGGGATTACCAATTCGTAGGTCCATTGGTGAGACATTGTTAGCCATGCCCACTTTCAATAAATCCAACTGTGCAAGAACCACCCATGCTTCGGACCTTGAGCACTTGTCCCACATTGGCCAAAAACTCCTCTTCTTCAATGACCCCGTCCTGAAGTTGAAGTAGCAACAGGATCGTACAAGCTGTCAGACACCCTCTCAAAAAAAAAACGAAAACCTTGCCGATTCCGTTGGTGTGAAGCTGCTCCCATTCAAAACTACAAAGCCAACATGTTGGGCAATTTGATTTGATTTGCTTCACCTGCCCCCCAACCAGTCCCCATTGAGATCCAAAATGTCAAAGGGTTGCGTCACTTCCAAGCCGGAAGTGCGTCCACAATGCAGCCGCATCAGCACTTTGGCCTGGAGACCACATGGCCAGGTGAGTGGCAGCGGGGAACTTGGTCAAACAAAACTATCTTTGAGGATCAATATCCATTAATACATTAGATATGGATATGTATATATATATATATATACATCTTTCTCTCTCTCTCCCTCTCTCTCTCTCTCTCTCTCTCTCGATCGATCCATCCATCCATCCATCCATCCATCCATCCAATCAATCTCAATATATCCATGGAATGACATGATACTATGACATTTCTCCCGGGATAAATCCCAGCTGGTTGGGTCAACTGTTCTGGGCACCTCTCAGGGGAACTTCATGCCAGCTTAGGTGATCTTAGTCATGTTTCACTGGTGAAACCCCATACCCCGAAAATTCTTTGGTAGTTTGGGGCCCATCAGATTCTAGATCGATTATGGGTAAACATCAAAGTTTGACACTAGAATGTATGACTGATTATGACTGTATGACAAATACGGCTCTGAAAAAGCGGTGCCCTGGGCCTTCAATTTTAAGCCATACCAGATACCGGGCCCGATACCCAACCTGACCGCCCTGACCTTATCCTCCAACTTCTCCTTGGTGATGGTCTCACCCGATGCTCCACCCAGCTCATGAAAGAGCCGTGTCGGCGTCCAACCATTCTTCTCCATGACCTGATGATAGGTCAGGGCCAGCGACCGGAATCCATCGTGGGCACTTCAAAGGCCATGCATGGCAGAAGCTTTGGTTTTTGTTCCCCAATGTTTCCAAAGTAAATATATAAAGTAATAAAGGTGATGAAGGTAATTACAGCTTATAAAGATGATTCAAAGAGGTTCTACCTTCCCAAGAGATGAGAAGGAATGGTGGGATGATCTTACTAAGATGGCCTCGCACGTGGAAGCTGCGGAGTAATCCCACCTTGATTAGATCTTTGAAGAAGACGCTGGCGTTCCTCTCAACTTCTGACATGTCCTGCGTCAACAAAGGTGACCAACAAAAAGGTCGCAAGCTCAAAAAAATCCGAGCCAAGGGTGGGAAAAGGAGGAGGAGAAACACTTGGCATCAGTCAGGCTTCGTCCTGGTCAGCTTTCAGAAAGAAATTGGCGGCCTCAGTTTGAAACCAGGGATATGGGATCTTTGTACCCCCTCAATCATGGGACATGGGGCGGTTATTTGTGATATTATGAGGTAGGGGGTAATGATCCCCCTCTCTCACCTTCTGTTGGTCCACTGGCAGCCTTTACCGAGGTACCAGAACCAACTTGTGCTTTTGCTTGGCAATGATCGCCAGGGCCTGCGTCAGGTTGTAGGTTATCAGGGGCTCCCGTCGTCATGTGCCATGGCCATGGCGCTGACCGAACCTGCTGGAGCTCGTAGGGCGTAATGCTGCCCGTTTCTGGACTCAGCAGCAACGATGCCAGCCTGGAGGAGGCCAACGCCAGGATGTTGGGACTCATCTTGCACAAGATTTCTTCATAGAGAGAGAGAGAGACTCAAATGGAACCACAAGAACAGGAACAGCCCATTTCAGCAGAACTCCAATTGCAGCCCCGTCTTGGGGTCCTCTGCAACTCCTCGCAGGGAGGCAAGTGGTCCAAACGCATCAGCCGAACACCTGGCAGAGCTGCTATCGTTTTTGTTCATCCAACGCCAGGGAAGTTGATCCAAAGTCGATCCAGCTTTATCTAGGGGGGTTCCTAGAATGGGGGTCCCAAGTCACCATGGGTTTCAATATTAAATTGGTGAAATGTTCGATGATTTAGGGTATACCCATGACTTGGAAACCCCACACCTGAGGGTGCTGTACCCTGATGTTGCATCACCGCATCACTACATGAGTTTCTATGGCCTTCCACCAGCTCCTCAGCACAAATGCCGCCATTGCCATTCCAGTCCTGTGCTGCTGCAACCAGCGGGACTTTCGATTCTTGTCTTCGAAAGAAATGTATTTGAAAGTTGCCCAAAAGTCATAGAATTGAAATAACTTGAGCTACAAAATTCAGTGGACTAATCAGCCAATAGCTAAGCGAAGGACCAAATTCCCTAGACTTATCCCACCATTAATGGACCAATCCCCAAGGGTAATATCTATAGTTCGTAGTTCCACCAATCAAATCAATCGCTGGTCCAGCAGGGTGAAGAGATCGTTGGGCGTCCAGGTCCGATCCTGGCATTCCCGATGTGCATTTCTTGTGGCTGTCAAGCCCCGAAAGGGTGCTCTCTTCAAGTTGGGCTCAAATCTGTTTGACAAATGGTTCCTTTTCAGGCTCTCATCAGAGATATCAGAGTCGACAAGCAAGCAAGTCATACTGCAAGAGAAACACCAACAAGAAGCCCACAAAAGACCACACATCTCACCATCCAACACATGGCACAACCCTTGTCACCGATTGTTGCAGCACAAAGCTATCTGACTTCGTAGCTGCAGCTGGCAGCTGGTGGCCGCTGCTGTCGCCACAGCTCCTTCTCCTCTGACCATTTGGGTCGCGCCCGTGCGCGCAGCTGCCGCGTTTCGGTGGGCGCGAAGCCTTCAGAAGGGGAGCCCAGCAGAGCCCAGCTGGGGGTCGCGGCTGTGTATTCCAAGGCGCTGAGGGTTTCCCCCTGCGCCATGGCATCGGCAAACCCTTCGAAGTCGATCCAAGTTTTCCAATTTTCATCAGATCTGAAGGCCTCTGAAGCGACGAGGGCTGAGTTGGAATGCTCGTGTTCACATGCCAACTGATATCCCGTCATTTCTTCACAGAGCTGCTGGGCAAAATCCTTCACCTCCAGGTGGGTAGGCATGTTCATGGTGCCCAAACCCGTCTTTTGAAAGAGACCAGCCATGGTGACTCCCTTGACCTCAATGAAGTTGGGCCGAGCCCGCTGGAGCACCTGAGCCCATTCAGCTGGCCCTGCCATGTTCTCACCGCGCAACAGGGTGAGACGGCAGACCGTACGCTCCCGGCGCGTCGCCAGAATGTCCATGGATTCCATGTATCTCTCCTTGCGGGTAACCCATGTGTCCCCAACACTCAAACCATCCTGGATCTTAAACACAAGAGATGTTGGCAACAGGAAAGTATGAATAAACAAAAGTATCAAATCATGAACCAGAAAACTACCAAACAATCTCATAATTGTTGATCGGATAGATCTAACAAGAACCTCGGAGAAAACGAAAAACGACCAGGTCCTCAAATCATATTCAAATCATTGAAGTCTCCCAAGTGTCCCAGTAATCTTTGAACAACGGTTTCCCCACACTTTTCAGCTGCTCGGCTGTGGCTCCATCACAGGACAGGTACAGTTGGGTCACCTGGGGGAGCGTCGACAGCGCCTTTGGGAACTGGCCGTTGGTCACCAGGAACGAGCTAATACGACGCCGGTGCAGGGCGCTCAGGAACTCCCGGATGCGGGGATAGGCTACCTGGCGGGAGAAACTCCTGGGCTAAGAATATTTGTAAGATTGATAAATTGTAGATATTTGTAGATACAACCTGTAGGTGGATGTAAAATTGCGTGTATGTGTGCAGGTACTGTAGAAAAACATGTAAAGTGAAAGTAGATAAAATGTTTGAAAGCACGAACCAGCCACAGGTTCACCCACCAGGGATAAAGCACAATGCCTCACTTGTCGTGCTTCAGCCTTTCGATGTTCCAAAGCATTTGGTGACAAGCATTGTTTCTCAATTGTGGCATAGTGTTTGCGCAAAGACTCTTCCAAAATTTCTTCTGGATCATCGGTATCAAACTTCCAATCGAGGGCAACTGGATTAATGTGGTTCCGCCAGCAGAAAATGCACTTGTTGGCGCAAGAGACATTGGGCGTGTGCTCCATACATTGGTGCGACGCAATGCCGTAGAAGGTGTGTTTGTAGCAGCCCCCCTTGCCCTGGAGCATCGACTTGGTCCAGCGGCAGAGTTTCGTGGCGGAGTGGCTGCCTGTCCCAAGGCAAGGGTAAAAAGTCAACAACCATGGTGCCCAACCATCTGCTATCCATCAAGAAATCATGATCCCAGTGCTGATATACTTTACTGTAATGCCAAAGATATTCCCAATTTAGATATAGATTATGTATACATAAATAATATATATATATACAAATATATATCTCAAAACTGATCAAAAATATGTAAAGCCAATGCTCCCATACTCCCATACTCCAAGACATAATCATTCATATCAATCAAATGCCCTCGTTCATCGCAACCAGAAAATCTGCATCGTATGTCCCAAGTGCTAAAATCTCGCGACTAGCAAGTTGCCAGGCCCCTTGAGTAAATCCCATCCCACTGGTGTATATAAAGCCGCCACAGGAGCAGTAAGGAACACCAAGGTACTGCTGGCCTGATGATCCTTCGACCTGGAGACACAGACTGGGACTCCTCCGGGCCCTTTTTTCTCAAAAAGGCTTGATTTCAATTATCCCGGAGAGCATTGCAAGACAATGAGCAAGGCGGACGTGTGCAAAAGCAACTCGAAAACACACTGGAAGCAAAAAAAAACCTTTACTGAACCAGTTGGTGAATCAGTGACGGCACTGCCTCTTCAGACCATATGGAAGGTCCTCTACTGTCCGCCTTGCTCATTGTCTTGCAAAGCTCTCCGGGATAATTGAAATCAAGCCTTTTTGAGAAAAAAGGGCCCGGAGGAGTCCCAGTCTGTGTCTCCAGGTCGAAGGATCATCAGGCCAGCAGTAATGACAACTAGGAGTCCCTTCTGACTGTAACCTTCATCTGCTATCAGCAACCTGCTATGCCACCTATTCCAAAATCTCCCATCATCTTCCATCCATAGAAATCCGGTCCTGCCTACAACCTGCCAGTTTTGCTTCTCCATTGTCTTCCGCCTCTCTGGGCTGATCATGGCCCCAAAGCTCCGCCCCAGGGGCCTCAAGCTCCCCTGCTGCGCTCTGGTACTTGGCGGGAGCACCCGGCAGCACATGGCGGCGAAAATTGGGGCGAAAATCGATGGCACAAGCGGCAAAGTCTTTTCCGGTTGCGAATCAGTTGGCGGTTTTTGACTGAAAACCTGTCTGGAGTCAATAGAATCTCCGTCTAAAGAGGTTGCAGGAGTTGTGTGGGTAAATACCAACAGCCTATGGTGGATTGGTTCTACCTGTTGGTTGATCAGAATAAGCCCCCCGAAACTTTGGCAAAATCCGCTTCAATTTATATGGTTGGTTTGGGTTTTGACCACTGCTCATGTTGTCTCCTTGGTCTTTGGAATACCTTACCGGCCTTCCCATAATTTCACCACCTCTAAACTCTAAACTACGACAAACAGCCCAATGTTGACACTGCCTTTTTTAACTAGGTATTTGTTCTCTCATATCTGGTTGCGACTATGACGACTAGGAGCCCAGCTGGACAACGCGGGAAAGCGCTTGCTGTACATCCAGGGCCATTCTCAGCTCCAAGGACCATGGATTGACCATGCCATGCTTGGTCCACCTTCATCCAGTCGTGCATGGCTCCGAGAACTCCCGCACAGGCGGCCTCCTGGCGCCACACCCGAAATGGTGATGGGATGGGAAGGTACAGACCTGCGAGGAGGTCAATGTTTTATTCCGCCATTTGGGTGAATAGATAGATGCATGTTTATATGATTTGTTCATTTATTTGATATCTGGTATTTGGAATCGCCTCAAATGTAAACAAGTGCCTGGCAGAAGGGTGGTGTGATGTTGAGGGTCCTGCGCATCGTGGTGAGCGAACTCTTTCGTTAGCCACTCAAAACGCCTCGGTTTGCACATCTCAGATCACCCTACAATAAGACCAGGTTTGATGCTGTGGGACCCGACTGTGGGACCTGCAGACCATTCCAAAAGAAAACCTGCTCCGGTTTCTTGTTGCCTGGTCATCTGGAGGCTCAACGACAAGGATATCTGCAGCTTTACGGGTGAATGTCTGTCTGGCTCGCGCATCTCGCTCCCAAGTACTGCGAAGAACAGCCGACAAATGCAAACTGCAAAACTGCAGCTGAGGCCAAAGTGGAAAACGAGCTGCAACATGCTGCAACCTCTAAAATCCGTTGGCAAATGATGCCCGCACAAAAGACCAACCCACTACCCAACCACCTCGACGCTTTTTTGGTTTGGCGTCCTTTGGTGCTGAGAGTTCCAGTGTCTCCGAGCAGAGGCTGTAGAGCCGCCTTAGTCAAAGCAGACGAAGATAGCGACTCTGCCGCCGTAGATGCTGGACTACCAATCCTGGTGAATCTCAAGTGGTGCCGGTGCAACCCCAAACCAAACCAGCAAGTGATTTCTCCATGCTGCCACTCTGAGGCAAAGGCCGCAAACTCTGCAAGTCGATCACTGAAAACAAACCAAAGTCATAGCAAAACCTGCAGGCATTGGGGCCCTGTGGGCTGACCGCCGCTACCAATACAGGTCGATGGCTTTGCATCCCGACGCAATCTCTCTCTGCAGCGCATCTTGGTGATCCAAACAAGACTATGATGATCTATGATGACTATAGTCGCTATATAACTGTTGTGAGTTCCCATTCCCGTCATTTCCCGTCCAGGCCTCAGGAAGGCAGAGATGCTCATGTGGCCACCACCCATGTCCCTGGCAGGGAAATCGCTGTAGGCGCGAAAGAGCACCTGAATCAGCTCGCCAGCTATGAAAAAAAACACCAGATATCTGGAGTGCCACCGTGGACATCGGTGGAGTTAGGAGGTGTCGGGTAATGTCAAGTAATTCTCAGGTTGAAAACTGATGCAAACAGATTCTTTCGCTGGCTAGTGTATTAACTATACATAGTTTCTATATGTTTCTATACTAATATCAAAACAGATTCGCACATACCATGCCTGGAAAATGCTCGAGAAGGTCGCCTGAGATGGGGGGTTTGTGAAGATCTCCCCAGTCATCTGGGACTTCATCTGGGATGATGCAAAAACTCCTCCCCAAATGGTTGAGAACAATTCGGGCTCGGCTTCAACATTGATACTTGGGGATGCTTCAACAATATGTTGATGATATTCATGATATTCCATAACATCCAATCTCCAACATATCCCACTTTCAAACATGTTTTTTTTATCGGCTTTGCCCACAACAAATGGGTCGCGGCTCGACCAGTCTGGGAGTCCTGGCCACGAAGGACAGGACTTCAGGCTCTAGAAGCTGGTTCTGCATGAATTCCGCCTGCCGCACCCCTCTGGTAATACCCGGTGGATGAATTCGTGGCTACTTTAATGGGATTTAACCATCAAAAACATGAAACTATTTATATAGTAATTAATGGCTAATGGCTATTGTAATGGTTATTTATATTATGAGGGGCAATACTGGGTCTGGATATGACCCTCCGCTAATCTATGGTCTATGGTAATCTAACATGGCTATGGAAAAAAGGCTGTGAATTTACATGAATGTAGGTGATTTACCAATTAAAAATGGTGCTTTTCGATAGCTATGTTGATTTACTGGATGGAAAAACCAACAAATCGGCCACAACTCCGTCCAAACCTTCCATTGGAAGTGTCAGGATCATGCCAGTTGGTTTTTAAAAAAAAAGATGCCACTGGTCCCAAACAAACATCCTACGAACATCCTATAAGTATCATCCCTGTCACTCACTCCACTGGGCCTTGACCATCTCGGGCGGTAGGGGCACTGGCTCCATCACCGTCGCATCCTCGAGCGGCCTGGTGGATGGGGATGGCTTGGGGTATGGTCAAAGAATGTCAAAGATATGAGTAACACATGATTTACTAAAAGCTTTAAACAAATTTTAAAAAAATGTTGGAAATATCGAGATTAGCTTTTAGATTCGACTTGATCTTGATAATCTTGATTAATCTTGATTAATCTTGATTAATCTTGATGATCCTTTGATCAATGATTTACAGATTTGGGATGGTTTAAGTGGATCTATGGCACTCTGATCCAAGCTCCTGAATTTGCAGCCCTGTCAACTGAGCCAGGCAGGCGTGGCCGGTTGAACCTCCAAGATCTTCACAGTGGCATCGCGTCCATCGCGTTTGGTTCGGGTGGTCTGTCGTGATCCCAAACTGGCGCAGCTATGCGCAGGTTGGCGAAAGATTTTGAAAGTGAGGATTGGATATGATTGGCACATGCTGCATGATTTGAGCTGTTGATATCTGATGTTGAGATTCTTAAGGTTGGCAGATTCTTTTGAGAGTGATGATTTGAACCTGGCTGGTGCGGTAACTTCGGCTGTAGTGTGTCAATAACACTTCCGTACCCGGCACCTTGCACCTGTCCTGGACGCCCTGGGAAGTTTCTTTGGTGAGGAGAGGGCCTGCTGACAAGATTCCCCTTGTATCGCCAGGAGTTTCGCTTGGGTTTCACTGACTGTCTACAGACTGGTTACCTATTGAAACTGGAAATCAAGATGATGTCCCGCAGGGATTGAAATATGTTCATATATTTTCTATATTTTCTATATCCATCTATATACACACACATATATATATATATATCCATCTATATCCTAAAATCATCTATAATCCATGGGTGCACCCATCCAGGTCGCGGGAAAACTCGTGAGAACAGCTTGCACGGCCTCACTGACCTCGGAGATAGCGTCCAGGTCATAGGTCATCTCAGCGGCTCCGGCTCCAGGCCATGGCTGGGGGATTTCCGTTGCAGAACCCCGTTTTTGGAGCAGCAAACTGGGTGACAAACTCTGGTAAAATGAGAAATGGATGAGCGAGATGTAGCAGAACCTGCCAGATCCAAGGGATCCAAGGGATTCTGCTCAGCAGCTTCTGCTCAGCAGCTTCAACATGCTTCAACATGCTTCCACACAGTAAAGACAGGCAAAGACTACTTTGCCAGGAAAACAATGGCGAGAGCCCAGGGGTTGGAACTCCAGATCTGGTGTCCTGCGGAAAGACCACGGAGTGAGGGAGCGCCCTTGGTGGTGTCCAGGTCGCCTTCGCAGGATGATCATCACTGGACGGATCCCCATCATTTGCAAAGGGGATTTCAAGGGTGCCACCAAAAGCGAAACCAAAACCGATCAAAACTCGCCATGAAGGGGAGATAAGGGGAGGTCATGTGGACATGCGCAGCCTGCATCAGCCTTGAGCCTTGTCAATTGAGTCTTGCTCGCAACTGGCAACTGGGATTCTATGGCTGCGTTTCTCTCTTAGCCACCTTAGCCTCCTTTCCCACCAAGAAATACCTGGACATTATATACGATTAATGATGATTCATAGCCTCCCAATCACTTGTTCTGAGTTAAGTTTGGCCCCCTCACCCTCCAGCCGCACCTGCTACCGACGTGGCTGGCTCAGTGGCTTCGGCTTCTGGCAACTGACTGGAGTTACTGGAGCTGATTCCTCAAAATGGAAGAAATCCATGCGCAGTGCGTTGGAGACTCTTGGAAGGATCCAGAAAAACCAGAGTCCGGAAACTTGGATTAGCCTCAGACCCAACATGACCCATCCGCCCCCATACGTTGGGCGCTTGGAGCCCCACTGATGTTTTCGTGCTTCAGTTGTATTGCCTGGAAGGTGTTTGGATGATGGGAAGCTGGGTGATGCTGCCACTGGGTGATGATACTGCCTGCTTTTGCAGCACCTGGATGCGTTCCTCTCCATATGCCTCCAAGAGAAAACACGGGGTTGTTGCAAGCCTTCAAGATATGATAGGCTTCAGATGGCTTCAGACTGAAATGCTTCCAATCCCAATCTTTTTGTTGCGGGCAACTAGTCAATGGGATTCTCAACCAAAACAACACCTGCGAGATCCCACCTGTGCAGCCGGGAGCATTTTGAAAAAGAAGTACTTCTTGGCACGTGGCAGGGCTTCAGCCATGTCCTGCAACACTTGATGTCGCTTGGCCTGGAAATTCTCCGTGTAGAATGTAGAATTCGTGCCGATTCGTGCCACAAGAACCCGGAACCAAAAACCACATGTTTGCTCAGACATGTGGTATGATATAATATCCATTTTTAGCCTTCTGGGCTACACCATCCAATCCTACTCCAACTTCGGGAAGGGCCGCGCCTGTCCCTCCCAGAAGGGCAGCAGCGCCAGATCTTCCAAGAGGCGTCCGAACAACCTGGTAATCCGCGGTGTGAGCCGATCCTCAGGCGATCGCGGCAATGACCACAACGGCACCACAAGGACAAGCCACGGAATCTGGGGACCTGGCATTGACCAGGCCTTCCAGTGCTTCATCCTGGACCCGTTGGAGGTTTTTCAGGCCATGGGAGGTGGCAAGATTCACCAGGAGCGCTCCTTCGCCGGAAGCGCTGGCAGCCTGCCACCAAAATCCCCAATGGGTCGTTGCTTTGAAGGAGATCACTTCCGAAATGGTACAGGAAGCCTTTGGGCATCGGTTTTACCAGAGTCCAAAACCAGGAGTCTAGTTGGTTAAAACCAAATTTCAAAAAATATATCAAACATGGTTCAACTCCAATTTTTCTGGGTTTTAACATGGTTTAATCCTGTTTAACCATGTGAAACCCCCATTTTGAGTCAACTTGTCATGGCTTTGCTCCGGCTTCCGTTGGGGCGAGCCGATCCCAGGCCTCACCGCCATGACCAGTCGCCCGAAGGGTGCGATGCCGGGCACCTCGCAACTGCTCGCCTGAGAAATTCTGGATTGGAAGTAGAACAAGTGAAAAATGTGTGTATTTATATAATATATATATATAGTAATATCAGAATTACATTCATGCATATATTATGATTGCATGTTGTTCTGTATTTACTTTTTGATTTATCTATATTTATATATTGATATATTGATATATATGTGTGTGTGTGTGTTTCGTTTTTTCTCCCAAGCATGTACTTGCGAGTATCGCAGCGGCTGTGCTGGGACTAGCCATCATGTCCGATGTGACGTGTTATGCATGTGTGTAGTTTCGTTTTGATGTTTTATGTCATATCTTAAATCCGTCGCAAACTCAATCATCTCAATTGTTTGCACTGTATGTGTTTTGTCAGCCTTGGCTCCATCGCCTGGTCCCCTGAATTTGGGTGCCCTGTCCTCTGCGTCAAAGCACTTGAGCGCATAGTGATACCGGGGCCTCATGAGTTGGTGGTCGATGATGGGGTGGGGTGGATGTTTACATCCATCTCAATGCTAGCCATCTGCCAGAAAATTCATGAAAATGAATGAAAGTAAATGAAAATTCATGACAGATAATGATAGCATATATCAAGATTTACAGTAAGAGGTAATGAAATGAACAACATCCATATCAATGGATGAAGATCCGACATGTCTCATACGTACTGCAAGCCAATGTTCACGGCCGTCCTGGTTTTTTGTTGGACATCTCTGAGCTTCAGGCACGAGGCATTTCTCCATGGAAGTCAAGCCCATAGCCACCAGGAGCTGACAAAAGCTCGGCCTGCTGACTTTTTTCACAAGCTGTGCTGACTGTGCTGACTGTACTAGTGAGGACACTGCAAACACCACGCAGGCAGTCATTGCCCAGTTACAGTAACTGCTCATCAGCCCGGACCTGCTTAGCAGAACATTTTCCGAGATCTCTTCTTGATGTTCCTTGGGCAAGCGAGCACTCGCTGCTTGTTTACAAAAACTGCAGTGATTTTCTCGGCATCTTTGTGGAACTGCTTGCAAAAGAAATCGAGGAGTTAAAAGCGATATCCATAGGCTGAAAACCCCTTTAAAATAAACAAATTTACCCTTCACTCCCCAGGCCCCAAGCCTTTGCTGCCCTGTACACTGGGTCTTCCCACCAGCGTTATTTGCGGTGGCTGCACCATCTGCACGAAGGTGTGACAGAGTCGTACCACTTCCTCCAGCTCATCGGGGGCTAGCTTCACCTGAGCCTGACATGGCCACACTTTTGTTTGGGACATGCATCTAATGGAGGAAGAAATGTGTGTGTGTGTGTACCTATCTGTATATATATATACATATTTGTTTATTGAATTATTCATTTACTTAAGTTTACATATTCATATGTTCTTATACAACATTATGTGTATTATTGTGTATTACATATATATATACATATATATTTTTATTTAATTTTATTTATTTATTTATTTATTTATTTATGTACTTATTTATTTAGTTAGTTAGTTAGTTAGTTCATCTTATTCAGGAAGAGAAGTATAAAATCAGTAAACACCAAAATATGCTAGCTTTCTTTGGGCCTCAGGGTCTTTAGCGGCTAAAGCGTGTGGCTTGGACACTTCTGGCTGAGAGCCCACCTGGAATTTCTCTCGCTCCTTCTTATCAGGATCTCCGACCTCATGGCTTTCAGAGTTCGGGTACTCCCCACATCTCATTTGGTCAAGGGCCAATCTTTATCATCCCCAAACTACGTCCAAACTGCCAGTTTAGTCTATCTCTCCAAAAACAATCGGCCTCATGCTTTAAATCTATGTAAATATCATGTGGTTGGGAAACTCTCAGTAGCTCCTTAGCTCCCCATTTGCTAGGGAATATTGATACCCCTAGAGCCCCAAGCACTGGATAGTTAAGTCTCCCCACCAAGCCCTGCTGATCCGCAAGCACCAGCGGCAGCAGCTGTCGTGGCGCAGGAAGCGGTAGGAAGATGGCACACCACCAGCGGTCCACCTTGGGAAAGCTCATGGGGAAAATGGATGATCAACTGATAAAGCACTGATTTGGTTTATGGATTTTAGTGGTTGTCCAAAACGACATTGGAGAAACCCATGTTGAGTGATATAAGGGACACTTCTGTATGTCTTCATCAAAGAAGCAGTCGGAAAAGGACAGCAAATCCTTAAATCCTGAAACCACTACCTTTCCGACCTCCTGCTTCTCTTGCTTCTCATCAGTCGGCGCTTCTGCGACCTGCTTAAGTTCGGGCAAAAGTGTTGCATGCTTGATAGCATCACCAGGAGTTTTGGTGCCTTTTGCTCATATCTAACGGGTACATGATGATTTATGTGTATATATATTATGTGTGTGTGTGTATGTGTGGGTATATATATATATAATGAGATATATATACTCAGAAGCGAACACAGGATCTAGGAGAACACACCAAAAAAAACATTCCTTTTTTCTATACCCACTATGCCCTTAGAAGCAACCAGCCTTCGCAAGCTGCTCCTGCACATAGGCCAGGTCAGTTGCCAGGGCGCCCTGGGTGGAGAAGCGGCGCTTGTTGTCCACTCTTGTTCCTTGCTGCTGATTGCCATGGTGGCTGAATTTTGCAGCCCAAGTGCAGAGGAAAACGAAGACCCGAAAAATACTCTCCAAAGAATGGGTTTAGTTTGAAAAGAGAATCGTATCATAGAAATACGCGTTGCTCAGACCCATGGACAGCCAGCCATCACTTTACACCGATTGGCCTCCACTTAACGGAGAGGGCTGAGATGCCTGCCGAGAATATGTCACATCCAATCCTTTCATTGCACAGTTCTACCAAGCACCCTTGAGGTACCCATGAGAAAAAAAAACATTTTTTGCCAAGTTCTGACAACTTCAAGTGATTCAAATACTCCCATCCCCTGAAAATATTTCACAGCCCCATGAGAAACCATGGCTTTATACGGGGATTTACAGATATTTGGATCATAGAATGGGGTTGTTTGGATCATGGAGGTGACCATCGCCTGCGGAGACGCTAGGCCCGGTAGGCCCGGTAGGGAGGGGATGGGCCGCCCAGGACGTATGCCAACCACTGGCGATCTCCTCCAGGATCTGGAAAACCCCTTGGTAAATTTCGGAAAAACAACGCATTTTCAGATTTTCAACCTGGAATAGTGAGTAACAGTTGGGATGATTTTTCCATTCCCAACTGTTTCTGGAACCTGGAATCTTATGAAAATCTGAAAATCTGCAATCAGTCCGGAACTTCAAATTTCAAATGATTAAAATGTTCACCAAAACTGATGTCACTTGATCCTGAATCATTTTCTTATAGACCATCTCCGGTTCAAATGAAACCAGTCAGCGTCTCCTTCGTTTGCCCACGGCCTGGCCCGATGGTAGCAGGATTTCCCATGAAATCCTCCAATCTGAGGGAGGGGAAAAAAGCATTGCATAGCCATATCAAATAGTATTGGTAGTAATACTGACACACACACATATATATATATATATTTTATTTATATATATTTATTTATTTATGTATATATACATAGTGTTTTTTGAGCGAACGTACAATAATAGTAATTGATGATAATGATATTAATAACATACAGTAGCATACAATAACAATAGCAATAACAATAACAATAATAGTAGTACTACTCTCCACCTGCTTTTCGAGTCTTATCTCAGCCAAAAACTGCTCCGTAAACCTTCGCCGTCTCCGCTGGTTTCGCCCTGCCTCCCTGCCGAGGCCCAGCACTTTGTGGGCCACTGGGGGTTTCAACATGGGCAGCTCGGCCTGGGCACATCGAACTCGGCCAATCTGAATGGCACTGAACATGAGTTTGGTCAAAGATGGAAGGTATCCTATTTTATTGCCCCTGCAATGGGGAAAATGATGATCGACCATGAGGTTTTCAGACCCATCTACAAGCATGGAAGGCCCAGTCGGCCCAATGGATCCTTCCAGCAGCTTCCACACCTCCTTTCTTTGTAGGAGATTGCCAGCATCCTGGGACCAATGTCCGAGATGCAACAACTTCACAAGAGACTCAGGCACTTCCAATGCCACCTAAAGAATTACTAATGAGCCTCGACGTTCCAAGATCAGTCAAGGACAGTCTTCTTTTACATCTGCAGCGTTCATATTTGCTCAACCGGTTTCAACCCTTGGATTTCTCTTGGGCCACAACCCTCCAAAGATTGGCCTCAATGCCACATTGACAGGTTTGAAATTGGTCTGCATGAATCCACGAGGAGGGGAGGAAAAAAAAAAACAGCAGCAACAGCAACAACAACAACAGCAGCAGCAGCAGCAACAACAGCAGCAGCAACAACAACAACAGCAGCAGCAACAACAACAACAACCACAACAACCAACAACAACAACAACCAACAACAACCAACAACAACCAACAACCAACAACCAACAACCAACAACCAACAACCAACAACCAACAACCACCAACCACCAACCACAACAACAACAACAACAACAACAACAACAACCAACAACAACCAACAACAACCAACAACAACCAACAACCACAACAACAACAACAACAACCACAACCACAACAACCACAACAACCACAACGACAACGACAACGACAACCAACAACAACAACAACAACAACAACAACAACAACAACAACAACAACAACAACGACAACCAACAAAACCAACAACGACAACCAACAAAACCAACAACAACAACAACAACAACAACAACAACAACAACAACAACAACAACAACAACAACAACAATAAAGTATCATCACCATCACGAGCAATACCACTGCCATAGGCACCAGAATGATGGTGATGATGATGATGATGATGATCACAACCGGCTCCTGGATCCCCAGAAGAAAAAAAAAACTTGAGCCCGTTGAGCCCGTGGCCATGGAAGCAGACCCAGAGATTGATCTGCGCCGCCGGGCCATTCAATAAAACGTAAAATGATGTACGAATACATGACCTATATCTATACATATATATATATATATATACAACGTAATTATTTAAATATGTCTTCACCGTCTCTCTCCATTGCCTGAATGTATATTATCTCGCGTCTATTTATGTATGTGTATTTATTGTTATGCATGTTTCACTTGAAAATGATTTGAAAATGAAAGCACAAATGTAAGATCTGCTACAGGCTTTCCCATGCAATGAAGATCACCACCAGCGGCCCTGAGACCTGCTAGACGCAGCTGGAATCGACGGAAGGGTCGGAAGCGAGGATGAGCCAACAGCCTGAGAACACATCTCATGCCATCAGCCTGCTGATGTTGCATAATGATGTTCAAAGAAAATGAGTGTCCATCATGGTCCATCATCTCAATTTCAGCAGATTTTTCAAGTTTTGTCATATTTTGTGGTCTATGAATGAAATCCTGCCACTTGAAGGGACTTCAGTGCAGACCCTGCGGTGCCGGCACCTGGAGCCGCGCTAAAGTCCGGCTGTCCTGGCGCCGATGACGCACCGGTCAAGTGATGCTAAATTTGCAGGGAAATTCTTGGGTTAAACATGTTAAATCTAAAAAGCAAACCTAGAAGGGAGAATTGAAACCTGGGATGTCTCCAAGAAACTATGTGATCTCTAAACCGAATGATGGTTGGAGACGCCAAGCGGGATGCCGTAAAAAAGAGCCCCAAGGCACCTCGCATCTCTCTTCCATGGGCCGCCATCGAGCTACAGAACGGTCCTCGGCATCTTGGTTTCGTGTTGTTCTGGTTGGTGGTTTCAATCCCCTTTGAATGGACAATCGAAATACAACTGGGATTATCATCCCAATTTGTAGGATGGAAAACAAGGATTGCCTGAGACCAGCAACCAGCGTTGTGTATCAATTGCTCACATTCACCGCGAGGCAGCTTTCAAGTCATCCTGAGGCCAGTTCAAGCTTACTTCTGGATCTAATCGATCCCACGGTCGGCAATCCCACAGTTGGTAAATATGGCCGGAACTCTGGTGGCCCATTTTCCCGTGGAGGGCGTCGCATCAACGGGCCAAGGTGAAAACAATTGGTAAAAGTAAAAATTTGTCGGTCATCAGCTTACTTTGGCTGATTGCTTGGGCCAAAGATGCACCACGCCAAACGGACTTCAAACCGATCTGTGCAACGAAAAACTAAAAAGCATTGGTTTCGCAAAAGGCTCCTATTGGGTGGGTCCTATGCCGCCAGAGCACTTTGCTTTCTGCATAAGCCTAATTTCTTCTAGTAAGCACTTTTAATTCAAAGGCCACTGAAGTTCCTGCCCGGGTTGTGTGCCCCTCTCAAATGAAACATCCCCATCCGCCAAATAGGTACGAGCCGGGACCCTGGCGACACACCGTTTTTCCGTCAAACAACCTTCAGCTCATCTTCAGCTACCAGCACAGGCACAGGCCGGGAGTAGAGAGCCACCCCAGCGCCTACCAGCAACCCAGAAATGAGCCCACTGAGACCCAGGGGCGCACCGAAGAACAGGAAGCCCAAAAGCATCGTGAAGACCACCTGAAAGCTGAGTGGACTTGGCAAACATTTCTGTATACTTGTTACTTGGGGGTAGTGGGCAAATGTGTGGGAAAATGGTGGAATGCTCATGGGGCATGCAGTATGCATGATTATTTTTGTGTGTGTGCAATGTGTAGCCAGAGAGTGAGGTGGAGAGAGAGAGAGAGATAGAGAGAGATAGAGAGAGATAGAGAGAGATAGAGAGAGATAGAGAGATAGAGAGAGATAGAGAGATAGAGAGAGATAGAGAGATAGAGAGATAGAGAGATAGATTAGATAGATTAGATAGATTAGATAGATTAGATAGATTAGATAGATTAGATAGATTAGATAGATTAGATAGATTAGATAGATTAGATAGATTAGATAAATTAGATAGATTAGATAGATTAGATAGATTAGATAGATTAGATAGTTTAGATAGTTTAGATAGATTAGATAGATTAGATAGATTAGATAGATTAGATAGATTAGATAGATTAGATAGATTAGATAGATTAGATAGATTAGATAGATTAGATAGATTAGATAGGATAGATAGATTAGATAGATTAGATAGATTAGATAGATTAGATAGATTAGATAGATTAGATAGATTAGATAGATTAGATTAGATTAGATTAGATTAGATTAGATTGGATTAGATTAGATTAGATTAGATTGATAGATAGATAGATAGAGAGATAGAGAGATAGAGAGATGGATAGATAGATAGATAGATAGATAGATAGATAGATAGATAGATAGATAGATAGATAGATAGATAGATAGATAGATAGATAGATAGATAGATAGATAGATAGATAGATAGATAGATAGATAATAGATAGATAGATAGATAGATAGATAGATAGATAGATAGATAGATAGATAGATAGATAGATAGATAGATAGATAGATAGATAGATAGATAGATAGATAGATAGATAGATAGATAGATAGATAGATAGATAGATAGATAGATAGATAGGCAGATAGGCAGATAGATAGAGAGAGAGATAGACAGATAGACAGATAGACAGATAGACAGATAGACAGATAGATGGATAGATGGATAGATGGATAGATGGATAGATGGATAGATGGATAGATGGATAGATGGATAGATGGATAGATGGATAGATGGATAGATGGATAGATGGATCGATGGATCGATGGATAGATGGATCGATGGATAGATAGATAGACAGATAGATAGATCGATAGATAACTAGATAGATAACTAGATAGATAGATCGATAGATCGATAGATCGATAGATCGATAGATCGATAGATCGATAGATCGACATGGATATGGATATGGACATGGACATGGACATGGATATATAATAAATCATGCGGAGCTGTTTTTGAATTTGCAAATCGTATGGGTTCCCCAGAATTCCTCGCTGAAGCTAAGAAGTTGGCTTTCCCTGTGTGCCTCCAGGGCTGAAGCGACAGCTTTCAAGACCGAGTCTAAGTGCTTCAAAAAGAAGCCGGTAACCAGGCCCACAGTGGACATGATGGCAATGATCGACAGCACCTGTCACCAGAGAAACAAGGTTAGATAGTGTTGGATCCCATCCATTCCTATCCCGTCCCACTTCCAACTGAAAGCAGACATGATCATGAAAATTGAACAGCTGGTGGTTTTGCAGTTTCAACCCATCCCAAGAAAATGTCAAGTTCTTTGTCCAAGGTAGGCTGGGAGACTATTATATTATTAAGGCATATTAAAGGCATCTTGAGTTCCATGCTATCTTCAGGTGTCAAACCCCCCATGGCCTTCAGAGAAGCGATGGCCTCAAGGTTCTGAGGGGAAATCGCCTCGCTGCCCTGAGGAACTTTTGGAATGAAAGTCTGACAGAAAAAAATGACCTTTCTCCAATCCCCATGCTCCGCGGCTCAGCAGCCCTGAACCTCTTGAGTTTTACGGCTCAAATTGATGCATTCTTGCAGCTGGCGGCAGTTTAGCCGGCCTTTCCCTCCCAAATCAGCACCACAAAATTCACCACAATGGACTGGATGTACATAAAAGCATTCCTGGGGCGCGAGGACATCCGGAACTCTTCGGCAATCTGGACCCCCGATGGCCAGACCCCCAAAACGGCGCAGGGCAAGGCGCTGAAGATTGGTGGTCACTCCACGCTTGGCCGAGTCGGATCCTTTGAGGAGGACCTCATTGTAGACCCCAGCCAGCACGGAGCACAACATTTGCACGAAGAGCAGGAACCATGAACTCAAGTTCGCCTGAACAAAGCTGACATCCCCGAAGGAGCACAGCCAACACAGCCAACACAGCCAAGACAGCAAACACGGCCACAACAACTCGGACAGCTAGGATTTTGACATCCATTCGCGAAGCAAGAAAATCACCGGCCTGGAAACCAAATGTGGTGACTTTGCCAGACTCTTTGCACATGCAGCCCAATGTGATGAGCAAAATGGCTGCCCACTGGTTCCGGTTCAACTGCTTGGAGAACAATATCTGGTACAGCCTCAGGGAAACCAACAGACTCGAATGCACCTTGATTCATTTTGCACGATTTACTATGATTTACTATTACCATGGGCCCACACTGTGGGGATCTGTGGGGTAGTATCAGTCCCAAACCACCTCAGTTGCTGGGGCCCATGGAGCCAAGGATGACAGTTGGTTGCCCAGCAGCACTCCGGTCAATGCTATCTTCAACTGGATCAAAACATTGTAGGTGCCCGGATCGAAGGACGCCAAATTGATGAAGAGCAAATTGTTGTACATGGCGTAAAGCCTGGCACCATGGCTATGCACATACGTGGGACAAAAGTGGGGTCCCAGAAATGGTTGCCATGACCGCATCTGCGGGTTTCCAGGGTCATGACTTTCAACTCCAACATAGCACCACTAAACTGTGTGCCGGGTTGCAAAGCAGGAATCCCATATAGCAGCAGGACCCGAACTTCTTTCGAGGCTACTCGGATCATCTCCCGCAAGGAGCCATCATATGCCTCAACAAGAGAGTGGGCACCCGAAACAGTCACCAAATTTTGACTCACTTGCAGTTCATCAAACTTAGGACTTAGGTTTTTCTTGTGGTTGCTGCTTCCAGCCCGCTTTTCCACTTGAGCTGAGTGGCTACATACATGGATGCAGCCAGTATCAGCTTGACAGTTTCTGTCAGCAGAACCACGGAGGTAGCATTGTAGCTCGGGGCACTCGACAAACGGCTGGAATAGACCAAAAGATGTGATGACGTCCACAGCGTCACATAAGTGGTAAAAATGCCCTGCCTGGGAAGTGCAGTTCGGGGGCCGGGGAACCAAAGCCCCAATGACATACCTAGAGAGAAATGTGCAGTACCTGGGTCTTCTCTCTAAATCATATATATATATATACATATAATATGTATACATATCTCTCTCTCTCTCTCCGTGCATTTATTTACTTATGTATTCATTCATACCAGACACCTCCCAACCATAAGGACTGTGAAAAAGAACAAAATCTTGGCTGGACTGGTTGCTTCAGGGCAGAGTCCAGGCCCAACATTCGGGCCGTTCCACATTTGGAAAATTCGACGTGGCGTTTGAGCCCAGCAGCTTCCAGGTACCAAGAGGTGAATCACTTGCAAATGGCCCTAGAAAACACATGCGGTGACAACACATCAAGGTCTGCAGTCTGCAACTTACTCAGTGGACCAAACCGCAGCATCTTTTGCGATCTTTCTGTCCATTTCGTGACACTTCCGGCCCTTTCGGTTGGAAGCTCCGATTGCTAGGCGCTGATGGTTAGGAGACGATAGGCCCCCTCTGCAGCGCTGTGGGTGGTGTATTGGAAGGCATTGGTTGCCTCCCAGGTGGGCAACAACTGACAATTACGACCAATTCACATCCAAACTTTTCGGCGAATCACAATAATCTTCCGTAGTCTTCATCTGAGAGGTACAGCAGGCATTGCTTTCCACAACTTTCAAGCCACTTTGGTGCTAGTATCCCTGGTCCTAGCCTTGCTTGGCGACTCCCTGCCATTCTCAGACTGCACAGTCCAGGTGCTCCGGCACGTCGCAGGCGTCGCTGCAGCACCCGCAGGGCATGCTCCATCCTGAGCATCCTCCACAGTCTCTCCTAGCGCTACAGCTGCATCCTCATGGGTATGTCCTGCAGCACGCAGCAGTGATTTTTTCCCAAGTGGGTGGGAATTCTCAAAATTGAGGTGCCCCATATTCTTCTGGGTTTTCCAAATGACCCATTGGATGCCGCCCAATGACCGTCCTGAGAGCACTGCCACGATGGGACCTTTTGGTGCTGCCTGGGTTTGCAGCAGTTCCCTGAAGTCCAAGGTACTCTGCTGATTCCCCGAAGGCCAACGTGGACGATCTTCCACTTGCCACAACTGGGGAAATGGCAGCAGGATCAACAATGGATTGGTAGGGAAACCTACGGGATACCATTCTTTGTTCCTTCCAAAATATGTGGGTGTCCTCTAAGTTTTGCCATCATGCAATGATGAGAAATCAAAATGATTGTTTTTGACGTATCAATATCAAGTTGGCCAAGATGGTCTACCTGTCTACCTCCCAAAATGTTGGTTTAAAAGATTCTACAAAAGGGATCAAAAGGGCATTTTCTGCGGGAAATTCCAAGTGAAACAAATCCCAGGCGCCAAATCAGTGGCAGCACCCCACTGTTGGTGGCCACAGAGCTCCTTGGGGGGCAAGGACATGCCCGGCAGCATCAAGGGGATGTGCAGCAGAACCACCACCTTGGTGCTGTGATGATCCACATCCACATGATCCACCAGACCCTTCAGAGACCACTTGGGTCTTTTCTCAAAGTCAAGTCACAGGTTGGTCCACCGCAACATTGGCCAGTTGGACCCGCGCGAATTCCAGTTGATCGCTTTCGATCTGGTAGTTGGAGTTATCAACAAAAATCAGAAGCAGTCCTAGCAAGTCATCGGCCAAGGCAGCGTGGCCAAGGAAGTGTGGCTATCTGTATTATCTGTTCGGAACTTGCAAGACATCTGACATCTGACTCGCCCAGTCTCCTTTCACAATGGCACAGCCATATAAGAACCCAAGCCCGGGTCGTTGCCACTGGCCCAAGGTTTCATAACAGCTGCTGCGCCCGGTGAGGCTCTGCTCGAAGAATGGCCTTCAAAGAAATTTTGAAACCAGTGAGATGGAGCAATGATCCCAGGTTTTTTTCTGGGAGAAAAGCTCCACAAAGTGATCAGTTCTTTTTGAGACTGGAAGCACCCCAGTAAAACAATAAAAACCCACACTATTCCAGGATTAAAGTTGAAATGGTCATCATTAATCTTGTCTACACATAAACATATATATATATATGGGCATGTCGTAGAATTTGAAATCTATACAAACGACCAAAGAGGCAGCTGGAGATCTTTTCTTGAATGGAAGGGCCCAAAGCCAAAGGCTACACACAATGGCGTCCCCATCCCCAGCTGGTAAAGGATAGGCTGAGATGGTGCGAGTCAATCCGCACGCCCCTACAGGACTAAGCACTGTAGAGACAACGCCTGGAAGGCGAATAAAACCTAAGGCAAAAAATAAGCCGACGTAGATCCCCAACAGCGGTTGGTTTCAAACAGTGGTCCAACTTTGCAACCCAAGACGGATTAATGATGGCAGGAACAGGATTCCATAGCCTAAGTCTCTTCGGCGATTTTTTGCCCGCCCTGCCCCGTCCCCTTTTGGACCAAAGGCAAGATGAGACATGTTCTTTAAGAAAGCGCGCATAGTTGAATTTACATACATTTGGTTACAAACGAATGGCAGTATTTGCAGACCACGGTGTGTCATTAAGTGTTTACAAAATTGTGTGTGTGTTGGTTTGAGATTATCTTGTCGTGCTTGGACAACGTCGGTCAGTTTGCGCAAGTGATAGGTGAAACAGTTGGTTTTGGACAAATTGTCCATCATGATTCCAGAATTAGTTTCATGTCAATACTTGGTTCTTGTGTCACAACTGTGTCTGAAGTTTCATTGTGTGTTGCTGTTTGGTCACTTAGCTTTTAAAAAAACATCTACCTGGCTTCGAGAAGCCTCACACAGGTTTGCTGCCAATCTGTAGGTGTTCCAAGGCATCGAACTTAATTGCTTGATGTGGCATGTGCTTTGGTAGATGCGACATCGGAACAGTTCAAACAGAAGATTTTACAGCAACATCAGAACAGGTCAGTCGACCGACGCTGTGCGCCCACTGAGCAAACGAACATGAATTCGGAATTCAGTGAGGGGCCACAAAGCACCCAAGATTGGCTGGGGGATTTCCGGAATCCCTTGTGTTCCTGGAACCTTGTGTTCCTGGAACCTTGTCTTCCTGGAACCCTCGTTTCCGGAACCTTGGCACAACCCACAGCGTATATTGGAACCCTGGGTTTGCGGAACCGAGACGCGCTGATTTATTGTCACGCTGTGCCCCCCTCTGTCAGCGATTGCTCGTTGACAGGGCCTATATGGTCCTGGAACCTTGGTTTCCTTGAAAATTGGTTTTCTGGGACCCTGTCCGTAGCATGAACCTTGGTACAACCCACGGCGTATATCCGACCCCTGGGTTGTTTCCGGAACCTCGGAACCTTGCCAGAACCCTGGTTCTCTGGAACCTGGGCTGGGCTTCTTGAAAATTGTTGTTCCGCAACCTTGTCCCTGTCCGGAACCTGTGGCATAATCCAGGAAGTATATCCAAACTGTGGGTCCGCATCCGCGGTGGTTCTCGGAACCTTGTCGGAACCCAGTGTTGCTGGAACCTTGCCGGAACCCTCGTTCCCCAAACTCTGGGTTTCCAGGATGTTTCAAAACGTTTTCAAAATTGGTGTTCCGGTGAGTCCAGAACCGCTCGAAACCATGGTAAGGTTCCCGGAACCTTGTCGAAAGCCAAGTGTGCCCGGAACCTTCCTGGCGCCGAGAACCTGGGGATCCCGGAACCTTGACGTCCCGGAACCCAAAAGGTAGCCAGAACCCATTGTTCCCAGAACCTTGCTTGAAAGTCTGGTTTGCGGAACCTGGAACCTTGCCCCGAACCCTGAGTTCCGGAACCTTGCCCGGAACCCTGGTTCCCGGAACCGGCAGCGGTTGGTTTCAAACAGTGGTCCAACTTTGCAACCCAAGACGGATTAATGATGGCAGGAACAGGATTCCATAGCCTAAGTCTCTTCGGCGATTTTTTGCCCGCCTTGCCCCCTCCCCTTTTGGACCAAAGGCAGGATGAGACATGTTCTTTAAGAAAGCGCGCATAGTTGAATTTACATACATTTGGTTACAAACGAATGGCAGTATTTGCAGACCACGGTGTGTCATTAAGTGTTTACAAAATTGTGTGTGTGTGTTGGTTTGGGATTATCTTGTCGTGTTTGGACAACATCGGTCAGTTTGCGCAAGTGATTGGTGAAACAGTTGGTTTTGGCCAAATTGTCCATCATGATTCCAGAATTAGTTTCATGTCAATACTTGGTTGTTGTGTCACAACTGGGTCTGAAGTTTCATTGTGTGTTGCTGTTTGGTCACTTAGCTTCAAAAAATCATCTACCTGGCTTCGAGAAGCCTCACACAGGTTTGCTGCCAATATTTAGATGTTCCAAGGCATCGAACTTAATTGGTTGATGTGGCATGTGCTTTGATAGATGCGACATCGGAACAATTCAAACAGAAGATTTTACAGAAACATCAGAACAGGTCAGTCGACCGACGCTGTGCGCCCACTGAGCAAACGAAATTGAATTCGGAATTCAGCGAGGGGCCACAAAGGACCCAAGATTGGCTGGGGGATTTCCGGAATCCCTTGTGTTCCTGGAACCTTGTGTCCCTGGAACCTTGTCTTCCTGGAACCTTCGTTTCCGGAACCTTGGCACAACCCACAGCGAATATTGAAACCCTCGGTTTGCGGAACCGAGACGCGCTGATTTATTGTCACGCTGTCCCCCTCCCTGTCAGCGATTGCTCGTTGACCGGGCCCTTTTGGTCCTGGAACCTTGGTTTCCTTGCAAATTGGTTTTCTGGGACCCCGTCCGTAGCATAAACCTTCGTACAACCCACGGCATACATCCGACCCCTGGGTTGTTTGCGGAACCTCGGAACCTTGCCAGAACTCTGACCTTGTCCCTGTCGGGAACCTGTGGCATAATCCAGGAAGTATACCCAAACTGTGGGTCCGCATCTGTGGTGGTTCTCGGAACCTTGTCGGAACCCAGTGTTTCTGGAACCTTGCCAGAATCCTGGTTCCCCAAACGCTGGGTTTGCAGGATGTCTCGAAATTGGTGTTCCGGTGATTCCAGAAGTTTGGGACAATCCAGGCTCTGGCTGCTCGAAACCATGGTAAAGGTTCCCGGAACCTTGTCGAAAGCCAAGTGTGCCCGGAACCTTCCCGGAAACTTGACGTCCCGGAACCCAAAGGTAGCCAGAACCCATGTTCCCAGAACCTTGCTGAAAGTCTGGTTGCGGAACATTGGGTTCCTGGAACCTTGCCCCGAACCCTGGTTCCCGGAACCCTGGTTCCCGGAACCCTTGCCCCGAACCCTGGTTCCCGGAACCGGTTCTCGGAACCCTGGTTCCCGGAACCGGCGAAACGAGGCGGCAGGGCGAGCAGTGACCCCGGAGCACCCCGAAGGCTATGTGGGCGAGACCCCAAAGCATTTGATGGGTGGGGAAAAATCATCTACCTGGCTTCGAGAAGCCTCACACAGGTTTGCTGCCAATATTTAGGTGTTCCAAGGCATCGAACTTAATTGCTTGATGTGGCATGTGCTTTGGTAGATGCGACATCGGAACAGTTCAAACAGAAGATTTTACAGCAACATCAGAACAGGTCAGTCGACCGACGCTGTGCGTCCACTGAGCAAACGAACATGAATCGGCATGTGCGGAACCCGCCACAAAGCACCCAAGATTGGCTGGGGGATTTCCGGAATCCCTTGTGTTCCTGGAACCTTGTCTTCCTGGAACCCTCGTTTCCGGAACCTTGGCACAACCCACAGCGTATATTGGAACCCTGGGTTTCCGGAACCGAGACGCGCTGATTTATTGTCACGCTGTCCCCCCCCCTGTCAGCGATTGCTCGTTGACCGGGCCCTTTTGGTCCTGGAACCTTGGTTTCCTTGCAAATTGGTTTTCTGGGACCCTGTCCGTAGCATGAACCTTGGTACAACCCACGGCGTATATCCGACCCCTGGGTTGTTTCCGGAACCTCGGAACCTTGCCAGAACCCTGGTTCTCTGGAACCTGGGCTGGGCTTCTTGAAAATTGTTGTTCCGCAACCTTGTCCCTGTCCGGAACCTGTGGCATAATCCAGGAAGTATATCCAAACTGTGGGTCCGCATCCGCGGTGGTTCTCGGAACCTTGTCGGAACCCAGTGTTGCTGGAACCTTGCCGGAACCCTCGTTCCCCAAACTCTGGGTTTCCAGGATGTTTCAAAATTGGTGTTCCGGTGATTCCAGAACCGCTCGAAACCATGGTAAGGTTCCCGGAACCTTGTCGAAAGCCAAGTGTGCCCGGAACCTTCCTGGCGCCGAGAACCTGGGGATCCCGGAACCTTGACGTCCCGGAACCCAAAAGGTAGCCAGAACCCATTGTTCCCAGAACCTTGCTTGAAAGTCTGGTTTGCGGAACCTTGGGTTCCTGGAACCTTGCCCCGAACCCTGGTTCCCGGAACCCTGAGTTCCGGAACCTTGCCCGGAACCCTGGTTCCCGGAACCGGCAGCGGTTGGTTTCAAACAGTGGTCCAACTTTGCAACCCAAGACGGATTAATGATGGCAGGAACAGGATTCCATAGCCTAAGTCTCTTCGGCGATTTTTTGCCCGCCTTGCCCCCTCCCCTTTTGGACCAAAGGCAGGATGAGACATGTTCTTTAAGAAAGCGCGCATAGTTGAATTTACATACATTTGGTTACAAACGAATGGCAGTATTTGCAGACCACGGTGTGTCATTAAGTGTTTGCAAAATTGTGTGTGTGTGTTGGTTTGGGATTATCTTGTCGTGCTTGGACAACATCGGTCAGTTTGCGCAAGTGATTGGTGAAACAGTTGGTTTTGGCCAAATTGTCCATCATGATTCCAGAATTAGTTTCATGTCAATACTTGGTTGTTGTGTCACAACTGTGTCTGAAGTTTCATTGTGTGTTGCTGTTTGGTCACTTAGCTTCAAAAAATCATCTACCTGGCTTCGAGAAGCCTCACACAGGTTTGCTGCCAATATTCAGGTGTTCCAAGGCATCGAACTTAATTGCTTGATGTGGCATGTGCTTTGGTAGATGCGACATCGGAACAGTTCAAACAGAAGATTTTACAGCAACATCAGAACAGGTCAGTCGACCGACGCTGTGCGCCCACTGAGCAAACGAACATGAATTCGGAATTCAGTGAGGGGCCACAAAGCACCCAAGATTGGCTGGGGGATTTCCGGAATCCCTTGTGTTCCTGGAACCTTGTGTCCCTGGAACCTTGTCTTCCTGGAACCCTCGTTTCCGGAACCTTGGCGCAACCCACAGCGTATATTGGAACCCTGGGTTTCCGGAACCGAGACGCGCTGATTTATTGTTACGCTGTCCCCCCCCCTGTCAGCGATTGCTCGTTGACCGGGCCCTTTTGGTCCTGGAACCTTGGTTTCCTTGCAAATTGGTTTTCTGGGACCCTGTCCGTAGCATGAACCTTGGTACAACCCACGGCGTATATCCGACCCCTGGGTTGTTTCCGGAACCTCGGAACCTTGCCAGAACTCTGACCTTGTCCCTGTCCGGAACCTGTGGCATAATCCAGGAAGTATATCCAAACTGTGGGTCCGCATCTGTGGTGGTTCTCGGAACCTTGTCGGAACCCAGTGTTGCCGGAACCTTGCCAGAATCCTGGTTCCCCAAACTCTGGGTTTGCAGGATGTCTCAAAATTGGTGTTCTGGTGATTCCAGAACTTTGGCACAATCCAGGCTCTGGCTGCTCGAAACCATGGTAAGGTTCCCGGAACCTTGTCGAAAGCCAAGTGTGCCCGGAACCTTCCCGGAACCTTGACGTCCCGGAACCCAAAAGGTAGCCAGAACCCATTGTTCCCAGAACCTTGCTTGAAAGTCTGGTTTGCGGAACCTTGGGTTCCTGGAACCTTGCCCCGAACCCTGGTTCCCGGAACCCTGGGTTCCCGGAACCTTGCCCCGAACCCTGGTTCCCGGAACCGGTTCTCGGAACCCTGGTTCCCGGAACCGGCGAAACGAGGCGGCAGGGTCGAGCAGTGCCCCGGAGCACCCCGAAGGCTCTGTGGGCTGAGACCCCAAAGCATTCTGCTGTTGGGGAAATAAGCCGACGTAGATCCCCAACAGCGGTTGGTTTCAAACAGTGGTCCAACTTTGCAACCCAAGACGGATTAATGATGGCAGGAACAGGATTCCATAGCCTAAGTCTCTTCGGCGATTTTTTGCCCGCCCTGCCCCGTCCCCTTTTGGGCCAAAGGCAAGATGAGACATGTTCTTTAAGAAAGCGCGCATAATTGAATTTAAATACATTTGGTTACAAACGAATGGCAGTATTTGCAGACCACGGTGTGTCATTAAGTGTTTACAAAATTGTGTGTGTGTGTTGGTTTGGGATTATCTTGTCGTGCTTGGACAACGTCGGTCAGTTTGCGCAAGTGATTGGTGAAACAGTTGGTTTTGGCCAAATTGTCCATCATGATTCCAGAATTAGTTTCATGTCAATACTTGGTTGTTGTGTCACAACTGTGTCTGAAGTTTCATTGTGTGTTGCTGTTTGGTCACTTAGCTTTAAAAAAATCATCTACCTGGCTTCGAGAAGCCTCACACAGGTTTGCTGCCAATATTTAGGTGTTCCAAGGCATCGAACTTAATTGCTTGATGTGGCATGTGCTTTGGTAGATGCGACATCGGAACAGTTCAAACAGAAGATTTTACAGCAACATCAGAACAGGTCAGTCGACCGACGCTGTGCGCCCACTGAGCAAACGAACATGAATCGGCATGTGCGGAACCCGCCACAAAGCACCCAAGATTGGCTGGGGGATTTCCGGAATCCCTTGTGTTCCTGGAACCTTGTCTTCCTGGAACCCTCGTTTCCGGAACCTTGGCACAACCCACAGCGTATATTGGAACCCTGGGTTTGCGGAACCGAGACGCGCTGATTTATTGTCACGCTGTGCCCCCCCCTGTCAGCGATTGCTCGTTGACAGGGCCTATATGGTCCTGGAACCTTGGTTTCCTTGAAAATTGGTTTTCTGGGACCCTGTCCGTAGCATGAACCTTGGTACAACCCACGGCGTATATCCGACCCCTGGGTTGTTTCCGGAACCTCGGAACCTTGCCAGAACCCTGGTTCTCTGGAACCTGGGCTGGGCTTCTTGAAAATTGTTGTTCCGCAACCTTGTCCCTGTCCGGAACCTGTGGCATAATCCAGGAAGTATATCCAAACTGTGGGTCCGCATCCGCGGTGGTTCTCGGAACCTTGTCGGAACCCAGTGTTGCTGGAACCTTGCCGGAACCCTCGTTCCCCAAACTCTGGGTTTCCAGGATGTTTCAAAATTGGTGTTCCGGTGATTCCAGAACCGCTCGAAACCATGGTAAGGTTCCCGGAACCTTGTCGAAAGCCAAGTGTGCCCGGAACCTTCCTGGCGCCGAGAACCTGGGGATCCCGGAACCTTGACGTCCCGGAACCCAAAAGGTAGCCAGAACCCATTGTTCCCAGAACCTTGCTTGAAAGTCTGGTTTGCGGAACCTGGAACCTTGCCCCGAACCCTGGTTCCCGGAACCCTGAGTTCCGGAACCTTGCCCGGAACCCTGGTTCCCGGAACCGGCAGCGGTTGGTTTCAAACAGTGGTCCAACTTTGCAACCCAAGACGGATTAATGATGGCAGGAACAGGATTCCATAGCCTAAGTTTCTTCGGCGATTTTTTGCCCGCCTTGCCCCCTCCCCTTTTGGACCAAAGGCAGGATGAGACATGTTCTTTAAGAAAGCGCGCATAGTTGAATTTACATACATTTGGTTACAAACGAATGGCAGTATTTGCAGACCACGGTGTGTTATTAAGTGTTTACAAAATTGTGTGTGTGTGTGTTGGTTTGGGATTATCTTGTCGTGCTTGGACAACATCGGTCAGTTTGCGCAAGTGATTGGTGAAACAGTTGGTTTTGGCCAAATTGTCCATCATGATTCCAGAATTAGTTTCATGTCAATACTTGGTTGTTGTGTCACAACTGTGTCTGAAGTTTCATTGTGTGTTGCTGTTTGGTCACTTAGCTTCAAAAAATCATCTACCTGGCTTCGAGAAGCCTCACACAGGTTTGCTGCCAATATTTAGGTGTTCCAAGGCATCGAACTTAATTGCTTGATGTGGCATGTGCTTTGGTAGATGCGACATCGGAACAGTTCAAACAGAAGATTTTACAGCAACATCAGAACAGGTCAGTCGACCGACGCTGTGCGCCCACTGAGCAAACGAACATGAATCGGCATGTGCGGAACCCGCCACAAAGCACCCAAGATTGGCTGGGGGATTTCCGGAATCCCTTGTGTTCCTGGAACCTTGTGTCCCTGGAACCTTGTCTTCCTGGAACCCTCGTTTCCGGAACCTTGGCGCAACCCACAGCGTATATTGGAACCCTGGGTTTCCGGAACCGAGACGCGCTGATTTATTGTCACGCTGTCCCCCCCCCTGTCAGCGATTGCTCGTTGACCGGGCCCTTTTGGTCCTGGAACCTTGGTTTCCTTGCAAATTGGTTTTCTGGGACCCTGTCCGTAGCATGAACCTTGGTACAACCCACGGCGTATATCCGACCCCTGGGTTGTTTCCGGAACCTCGGAACCTTGCCAGAACTCTGACCTTGTCCCTGTCCGGAACCTGTGGCATAATCCAGGAAGTATATCCAAACTGTGGGTCCGCATCTGTGGTGGTTCTCGGAACCTTGTCGGAACCCAGTGTTGCTGGAACCTTGCCAGAATCCTGGTTCCCCAAACTCTGGGTTTGCAGGATGTCTCAAAATTGGTGTTCCGGTGATTCCAGAACTTTGGCACAATCCATCCAGGCTCTGGCTGCTCGAAACCATGGTAAGGTTCCCGGAACCTTGTCGAAAGCCAAGTGTGCCCGGAACCTTCCCGGAACCTTGACGTCCCGGAACCCAAAAGGTAGCCAGAACCCATTGTTCCCAGAACCTTGCTTAAAAGTCTGGTTTGCGGAACCTTGGGTTCCTGGAACCTTGCCCCGAACCCTGGTTCCCGGAACCCTGGGTTCCCGGAACCTTGCCCCGAACCCTGGTTCCCGGAACCGGTTCTCGGAACCCTGGTTCCCGGAACTGGCGAAACGAGGCGGCAGGGTCGAGCAGTGCCCCGGAGCACCCCGAAGGCTATGTGGGCTGAGACCCCAAAGCATTCTGCTGTTGGGGAAAAAAGAGATAAGTGAGAGTAGTGGGGTTATCTGGAACCAATGAGGACTGCGAGTCTTTTGGGGCGGTGAAGTCAAAAAGAAGCTGGTAAGCCCAATTATGGAATTGAGATGTCGGAGCCCACCCGCCATCTCCAGGCGGAATCTTCAAACAGAGGAAGGACATGAGCCTACGAGTCCCCAAGTGACCGTGTCCCAACGCCTCCGTGTTGATGTTTGAAACCGCCTGTTTTGCATCTCCCCCTTGTGTTTGGTAACACAAGCGCCCCAGAGGCGATTGGGGTTTGCCCTGTTCGCCCCATACCCTTAGTGCAGAAGCAGGTGTGGAAAGAGAAAGCTCGCCATGGTGTGGGGATAAGCGTGAGATAAGGGGCGGAAGCTGTGTACGGTGATCGGTGGGGGAGAGTTAGTTGTTCAGCCGGTGAGCAGTCTGGAGTTTAGAAGGTGATCGAGTAGGTCGTATACTTCCGCGAGTTACGGGGATGGACCATCCTTCCTGATCGAACAGGTTTCCAGGGAGCACCACGTGGAGGTTTGATGCATGCTCGGTCAATATCTGGTCCTGGATATTGATCCTCACTGTGTGTCAACATGTGGTCACATGTCAACCTGTCGCAGCTTCGTGCGTATTCGCCTTTTTTCATTCGTCAGTTGGCTGTCAGTAAAGGACTATTGACTCAAAAGGTGATGCTGAAAAAAAGAAAACTCGTGCAGCGACCACAGTGACCCTATAGGCTTGATCCCATCACGAGTGAGCTCCTGCATTTTCACAAAAGCCTGCCGGTCCGCACGGAGCAACTGAGTCACTGACGGTGCCCTGAACCCTGGAGGGGCTGGTTGCCTCATCATCTGAAAGAGGCACTGGATCCACTTCTGGAAGGTCTCGAAGTCTGCGACCCCTACTGCATCAAATGCTAGAGATCTCCTGGTCATAGCCTCCATGATGTCCAGCTCGCTACTCACGGAGCAGGTCTGCTCATTCTGTGCGTCTTTGACCAAGATGCCACTGCCACTTGAGTCCAGCTTCAATTCTTTGGGGGGCTTTGCAGAAGTGATCTCCTGCATCCTGGTGATGCATTTGGCCGGTGACAGGTATTTCAAGGTGTCGGCCTCCACCATCCCGTTGATCACATCATAAACTGAGTGAGCAACTTCGAGAGTGCCTTGGAGATCCAGGCCTGTCAGCCGCAACTTCTGGGCGGCCAGTCTAGTCGCCCGTTCTGCTGTCGGCATCTTGCGAGTGCTCGGATCAGCTGCAGGATCAGCTTGCGCCCTCGACAACAACCCCTTCATCACCACAACGTCGCCTACCGTGATGGCTTTGCCACTAACCGCCTGGTCAAGCAAGGCCCTGACATCGGCTTCAGGCACTGGGCTTCCTGGTTGGCCGCATGCAAAGGCAAGACCTCCCAAATTCTTGATGCCCAAACGTTTGAGCCCCTGAATCCACTCATCTTCCAAGCCAAGGTTGCTCGCCTGCTTCTCGAAGGCGGCTGTGCTATCGGCAAGCGAGGTGGCGGCCATGACAACGCTATTGGAGGGTTATGAAACTTGTAAGAAACGTGAAACATCAAGGACATGAACAAAAAGACCATGAAAGTTGTGTGATCCTACCGTGACACCGCCATTATGTGCTAGAGCCTCAAGCTGCCCTATTGACCACAGTCAAGTCCGCTGCAAATGATCACGGCCTCATGCCAAAAGAAACCTAGATCACACAAACAATCCCAAATCAATAGCAGTGCCACAAGCAATGAAGTACCTTGAACCGCCTCGTGCACATGAGCCTCATGCCCAAAGAACTGAACCTTCAGTGGCCTCAAGCCCAAAATTGCCTTACGCCTCAAGCGTACAATGGTTGGATGCCTCATGCATCTACTAAGCTTGATACCCTCAGGTATATCCCGGCCTCATGCCGCCCTCCCTGCAACTCTTTTTCCAGCTGCAATGAGTCTCGAATTAAATGCGACGGCGTTTGCCACTTTCCTTATCCTGGTCCTTCTTGAAACATTTGCTGCGCTTCGGCCAGTCAAACGTGGACCCATTTGGCATCTGGGAGTAGCCTGAGCCATGGAGCCCGCACAAAGTCACAGGCTGCAGGTGGTTGGACTCATCCTGACTTCTGCGGTGCAGCATCTTGCTCCTCTTGTTCTGCATGAGGTCGCCCTCCACCGCCTTGGTGTCAACATTGTCCAAGAGGCTGCGTTGCTTTTCAAAGAACTCCTCCTCATTGCTGCTCGAGCCACCTGCATCAGAGCCAAGATCTGCTGAAGAAGCACTCTCCACGATCTCGTCTCCATCTTGACATGAAAGTGGGTCGGCTTGTCCAGCTCCATCCTTTGCGTCGTCCCATGTCTGCTCGTTGAAGGGGTTACTGGGATCAAACTCCGCGCCGTGCTCCTGAGAATCGTCAGGGGCCAGCGATGGACTAGGGACCATTGAACTCAGGTCGTCCCCGTGCTCACTCACCTTGGCCTCTCTCGCCTTCTCCAACTCCATCAAAGGACCCGCCATCCATCCAGAGCGGGTGCCATCGGGATCGAATTTCCCCAGCTGGATGTTCAACAAGAGAACAGCTAGGTCTTCAAAGGTTTCGCCAGCATGTCACGTGAGTAGCACGCCAAAGAGTGCTCCTTCAGGGCGTGATGCCCGAGCATCGCACGGCACTTGTCGTCAATCCCAAAACGGGCTGCCCACACCAAAGTTGTCGCCTTGAGTGAATGCGACGTAGTAGCCCTGGAGGTGTTCTCGATCTCCAAGAAAGCATTGAGCATGGAGCTGGCTTCCGCCGTGGTCAGGGCCCTCTTGGTGAACTCGCCATCGGCAGTGGGAGCCCTGCAAATGGGCCCAAAAGGTTCATGCCCAGGAAACAAATGCAACTCCTTCAAGGTTTCTGCCCAGGCTAAACCCCAGGGCTCAATCCCAATGCCACGGATCGGAGCCACATACGGCATGAACATCGCCTTCCGTTCGACGCTGCTCGAGGTCTTGTGAATTCGTGTTCTACCTTCCCAGAACCCGAGCTAGCCGTCCTGCACCTTGATGACGTCCAGCTCCAAGCTCTGCATCAAGGCCACGTCTCCCCACCTGGCACGGGAGTAAAGGGCGTAGAGCATGCAACCGATGAAGTATCGGTCATACATGTTGGGGGCTGTCCTGAGCTTGTTCTCTAGGAGCTTGACTTCTTCTACCGTGAGGGCACGTGCCTGTTCAGTGGGCTCTCTGGTAGCGAGGACCCTGCTCACGCGGCCTGTCAAAAGGGGGCCACAAATTCGGTCCACATCGAACTCAGCTCCAAAGAGAAACTTGAAAAACTTTAAAGAGTGCGTCGAGTTCTTTCCAATGAACTTGCTCTTGCTTGCAGCCTCGACTGCTTTCAGATAGGCAAGCAAATTGACTTCCTCCAGCGGCCACCAATGAACCGAGTTCTTGTCAGCCCACTTGATGAACAACTGCGGGTCTTTGCCGCGCTTCAGGACAGTGCTAGGCGACCGAATGCCGCAAGCATCTCTGATGCAAACCAAAGCTCCATCTCTGTCGCCACTCTGCACCTTCTCCATGACATACTTGCCCACAAGCGACTCAAAGCGGCTCCCTTCAACTATAGCAAGCCAACATGCCAAGCCCCTTGTCCACAACAAGCTCTGAGATGCTGCATGGTCACGATCAGTGAGGGCTTTGACGTGCTTTGCAAATACAGGGACACCACTCGCTGCCTGTCTCATCGGTGGGTCGATTGAAATATGAGCACCCACCTCCTCGTTCTTGGCAGTGAAGGGCATCGCAGCTGGAGCCGGCACCCATACATCTTCTGATGGGAAAACCTGGATGTCTTCCCTACCACAGATCTGAGCGTAAATACCATGTTCCCATGGCAGCTTGGGCAAGCTCAAGCCTAACTGAGGTATGCTGTGCTCAAACACAGTGCGTTCATGGTGTCGCCTTTCGACAGTGGAAAACCTACGAATACTAGTTTCTTTCGGGCTCTCAGCAGGGGTCTCGTCTGGACCTGGGTCGTAGTACATCTGGTCGTCTTCCTCTTCTCCAGCCAACAGTTGGTGAACACCTTCTTGTTCGTATGCTTCAAACAAGTTCTCCAGGTCAGCTGCTGGTTCAGGTTTCGAATTGGCTGTCTCTTCAGGATCGTCGACCGTAATTGCCTGACCACCTGCATCCACAGTTTCAGCACCACCAGCAGTAGGTTCCACATCTGGCTGGGATATAGTTCCAAGCTCATCCAACGCGTCTGGAGCCGGGGGAGCAGCCGTAGGCAACGAAGAAGGCATGCTCGCAGCGGGAACGTCAGTGCCATCCGCCTCCATCCCCCCTACTCCAGAGCAGCCAGAGAACGCAAAAGCGCTTCCCACCCTCCTCACCCTTGAGCAAAGTCTCAACGAGGGTGTGAATCATCTTGTTTACAATCAACACATTCATGCAATGAGAAATTGAATGCAAGCTTTGATTGCGTACACTCCATCAAAGTTAGCTAAAAAGAAATAAACGTTTGTTGACTACGCCAACTGCCCTCAAAAAATCAACGCGATACTAAAAATTGAACTTTTTCCAGGCGCACGGCCCCAAAACAATGAAATCGTTCAGTTACTAAAAGTTGTGTTGATGCCAAACTTGAACTTTTTCCAGGCGCACGGCCTCCCGATACGACTTTCAGAAACTGGTACGACTTAAACCGAGCACATGTAACAGCTGTGTAAAGAGAAAACTTAGGTTGCAGAAACTACAGCAGAGCTAGCTGGGAGGAGCGCTGGGGCCGGGAAGAAGTAGTCAAGTAGTCCAGATAACAAGCGGCCCAAAGAGGAAGCACGTGAGAGAAGAGGCGTTTGAGCAAAGACGTCGTCGCTCAGCGAAGGGAAAGTTCAACAAAAAAAATTGCCACCCGTCCAACCATTCATTTGCCCATGCAACCTTTCATTGGGTCATTCCGTCATTCATTAATTAATTTTGAGGACACGTCATCGTACCATCGTTAACGCTAGGGGTAAGCAGGCAACACAGCGCAGGCGGTGTAAGTGCAGGATCATTACCCTGGGCTAGATCGTCACAGCCAGTCGCATTTCCGCACTGGCACAAGCGGAAGGGATGGTTAATAAACTCATCAGCAGGCGGCTGAATTCCGGAGGTTGTTTTTTGGTTGGTTGTGACCCAGCCTTGACTTTTGAAATGCGGCATGCAAAATTCTGATCCGTCCGTTGTTGCCAAATATGCTTCCTCTTTTCGGATGCGCATTCGGACCCGATTTCCATTTTCCCCAACAGCGTAATCTGATAGGGTCTTCAGCCCAGAATAGATCCGGTGTGCACTGGTGCAGGCGCCAGGTCACGTTCAACGAGGTTCCGAAGGTTCAGGAGAAGGTCTGGGAGGCCTTGGTGTGCAGAGCCAGGTTAGGTTTAACAGGGTTCCGGAGAGGGTTCCGGAGAAGGTTCCGGGAGGCTTTGGTGCAGAGCCAGGTCAGGTTCAACAGGTTCCGGAGAAGGTCCGGGTCAGGTTCAACAGGGTTCCGAAGAAGGTACCGGGAGGCTTTGGTGCAGAGCCAGGTCAGGTTCAACAGGGTTCCGGAGAAGGTTCCGGAGAAGGTCTGGGGGTCAACAGGGTTCCGAAGAAGGTACCCGCGGGAGGCTTTGGTGCAGAGCCAAGCAAGGTTCAACAGGGTTCCGGAGAAGGTTCCGGGGAAGGTCTGGGGGTTTCGGAGAAGGTTCCGGAGAAGGTCTGGGAGGCTTTGGTGCAGAGCCAGGTCAGGTTCAACAGGGTTCCGGAGAACGTTCCGGTGAAGGTCTGGGAGGCTTTGGTGCAGAGCCAGGTTAAGTTCTGGAGAAGGTTCCGGAGAAGGTTCCGGGAGGCTTTGGTGCAGAGCCAGGTAAGGTTCAACAGGGTTCCGGAGAAGGTTCCGGAGAAGGTCGGGGAGGCTTTGGTGCAGAGCCAGGTCAGGTTCAACAGGGTTCCGGAGAAGGTGAAGGTTCCGGAGAAGGTTCCAGGAAGTCTTGGTGGTCAGGTTCAACGGGTTCCGGAGAAGGTTGCAGAGAAGGTCCGGAGAAGGTTTTGGGAATCTTTGGCACAGGGCCAGGTCAGGTTCAACAGGGTTTCCAGCGCTTGGCTTCGCAGCACCCTTCAGAAGATTTGTAAAAATGAAATCTGCGGCTGTTGGGGATACCACCGAAGCTTATTTCCCCAACAACGTAAGCTAATGGGGTCTTCAACCCAAAATAGCTCCAGTGTGCACTGGTGCAGGCGCAGGGTCAAGTTCAACGAGGTTCCGGAGAAGGTTCCGAAAGATCCGGAGAAGGTCTGGGAGGCTTTGGTGCAGAGCCAGGTCACCCCAACAGGGTTCAGGAGAAGGTGCGGAGAAGGTTCTGGAGAAGGTCTGGGACGGAGCCAGGTCAGGTTCAACAGGGTTCCGGAGAAGGTTCCGGATAAGGTTCTGGGAGGCTTTGGTGCAGAGCCAGTTCAGCTTCAACAGGGTTCCGGAGAAGGTTCCGGAGAAGGTCTGGGCGGTTCGGAGAACGTTCCGG